TGGTGTGACTGCAAAGTAGTAAGGGGCTAAAGAAAAAGTGTGTCAGTTTTCAAATATTTAAACATAGAATTACTATATGATCCAACAATTTCACTTTGAGGTTATACCCCCAAATTACGTGAAAATGGGGACTCAGATATTTATATATTCATATTCATAGTATTAATAGTCACAATAGCCAAAATGTGGAAGCAACATTAATTGTCCATATGGATAAACAAAATATATAAATTCAATGGAATATTAATTAGCCTTAAAAAGAAGTGAAATTCTAATGTGTAAAATATGGATGAATCACAAAGACACTATTAAAAATGAAATAAGTCAGTCACAAAAGAATAAATATTGTATGACTTGACTTAAGTGCAGTTACCTGGAGTAGTTAAGATCATAGAGACAGAAAGTAGAATGGTGGTTGCCAGGGGCTTAGGAAAGGGAAGAGATTGGGAATAATTTTTTAAAGGGTACAGAGTTTCAGTTTTGGAAGATGAAAAAAGTTATAGAGATGGATGGTGGTGATAGTTGCACAATGATGTAGTTAATGCCATTGAGTTACACTTACAAAAGGTTAAAAAGGTAAATTTTATGTTATGCATATTTTACTGTAATTAAAAATAATAAATAAATATGGTCCTTATCCCTTAGTGCCAACCATCTCACTTTTGGGAGATGGTGCTATAGATATTCTACATACAGAAAATTATATATACCTATGTAAAGTGATATGTATAATGACAGGGCATTTGTATTTACAAAAGATTAGACACAATTTAAGTGCTTACCAACAGAAATGGATTGAACAGATTACAGGTATTCTTAAGTGACATGACTGATTTATTTTCTTTGAGTGTGTGGCAGTGAAGAATGGAATGACTATTACTAGATTAATAGTGTATGGTTTGGTACTTAATTCATGCTAATGTAGCAGCAATTTTAACCACTATTAGTGCAAATTAAAACTTATTAAAAGTATTTTTTGGGGGTAGGCATTAGAAAGAAAAGGAATTTCACAGCACTAGGTCACTTGTGAATTTTCTCAGTGAGTTTGTATTTCTATAATTCCCACTCTATTCCCAAAGCCTAGTTTATGCTTAACATACAGCAGTAACTCTATTTGTTGAATTTATTAATTTTTTTTCTCCAAAGATATCCTTTAGGGAGGGAAGGCCTGGACAGATTGTATTAAGAGGATTTGTCTAGGAAGTCATTCAGTACAGTGAAGGAGGGGGGTCCATGAAAATAGCTTCCTCTATGTACTCTAGTTAAAGAGAACATATTACTATATGAAAGTTTCTTAATGTTTTAAAAACAAGCATGTAAAAGGAAAAACACAAAACAAAGAGTGACCAGATTGTTATAACTTAGTGAGTCACCTCACAATCTGGAATAATGAAGAGAATTAGGGGGATCCATTCTATTTTAGGGAATGTAATCTTCACAATTTTCTCCTAATTTATTTGAGTAGAACATAGATCTAGTCTTGGCACCTTAGTATTTTGAGTATTTTCAAACTTCTGAAATCTCAAGATGACTGGATGGTGAAATGAAAAACTGATTAATTAGGAATTAATTTCACCTTTTCCATGTGGAGGTGTTGTTGGCTCTAGGGAACAAGGACTATACCAGCAGCTGCCCTCTCTTAAGTCCCAATTGAAGTTCTATATTTGACCTTTTAATTGGGATAAAGTTTAGAATTCCTTATCTTATTTACTAATTTTAAATGATTATTGTTTCCACCTCACATCAAACCAAGACACACATACCCAACCTGTTTTCCCCTTTACCCTGCCAATCACTTTTGTTTAACTCTTAACATTCTAGAATATATTTCTTAATTAGTTTCTAAGAACTTAACAACATACACTAAAGTCTGATTATTACCCTTTCTTACATTCAGAATCGCCATATGTTTCCTTTCCTGAAATAGGTTCTTTTAGATCTTCTTTAGGAACCTGAGCAAGCTAATTTAGTTCCAGAAGGGGTTAGACTGGGCTAGAGGTTTCTGAACTTATCTTGACACACATCTATTTTGTAAGAAACAGACTTTTATATTACAAGGTTTACACATACATTAAACTGAAACTTTTTTTTATACAACATCCTTACTATTGATGATAGACTGATTTTTTTAAATGTTTGCTTTCTTGAGGTAAAATTTACAACATAAAACTCACCACAGAGACCATTTAAAAAGTAGAATTCAATTTTTTTATATATTCTAATAATGTTGTGCAACCATTACCAATCTCTACTTTCAGAACATTTTGATAATCCCCAAAAGAAAACCCATACCCATTAAGCAGATACTATCCATTTTTTTCTATTCTATTTCATTTCAAAAGAATGCTGAATGAGACTCACTAAGTTGTTCTCATAGCCTACTGACCAGTGAATCACAACTCACAGTCTGATATAACTGCTCAATAATTACTGAAAAGTTAATTATTAATAACTTTAATAATTATTTCTAGTTCTAATTATATGAACTCATTCCATTCTAGACACTGGTTATCTCTAAGCAAAACTTTTTTGTTTGGATGATTCACTCTGAAATTTCCAGGAGATGTGATGTGGTGTGGTGTGTGTGTGTGTGTGTTTTGAATATATGCATTCATTCATTTTATAAACACTTATTAAGGCCTTGAATGAAAAAGAAAGTTAAAAAAACAGTCTACCTCCAGAAAGCTCACAATCTAGTAGGGAGACTAACATGAAAATGAACATGTATGAATGAAAAAGTATCAGTTCTACCTTTCAGTGTGATGAGAGGATGGAATTAAAAAGAGTTTCACAGAAGATATGATCACAAGCCATCTTTGGAAACAATATTTTTGGTGTCTTCACATTGTCATGTAGATTTCTGCTCTACAAGTTTTATCCTCAGCAGGGGTACACTGCTATTTTCTCACACTGGATTCTGCAAGTTCCAGAAAGATTATATATAGGAATTTGTTTACATATTGGTCAAGAAAATAAGAGAAAGAGATAAAAGAAGGAAACAAAGAAACTAACATATATTGAGTACCTGTACTTTGTCAAGCATATGTATTTTCTAATTTAATTCTACTTATAATTCCTCAAAGTTTATATTACTACTCATATTTCTCATATACCCTATTTCATTTTAGGAATATACACATTTTCCAAATAAGACAGGGATATGAGCCCAAGTTTTCAATAAACATCTCTAATTTGACAATTAAATATAATTCTTTAAAACTTGGACTTGAAGAAGACTAAAATGAAAAAGAGTGGTTATCACATGAGGCAAGTTAATGCTGATTCTCTCCTGGATGGACTCCTGCCAGAGTGAATGAGTATCAAGGATCACAGAACATAGGTACCTGGATGTTAACACTACATTGCAGTACTACTCAGAGATTAAGCAGGCTTGACAGATGAAAAATATGACTTCCCACCTTGCTGCAGCATTATCCTCTGTAGTTCCTCCCTGAACCTGCTCAAGGCAGTTCTGCCAGGGCCAGCAGAATGAGCTCAACACACTAGTGTGGACAGCTTGGCCAGGTGTAGAGAATATTGACCTGGAAGTTCAAGCCCCTCAGCCTTCTGAGCCTTCTCAGCATTCAGTCACGGGAAGTCACTTACCTTCTTTAAATTCATTTTTCATCAGTATAGTGAGAACAGAATTCCAGGATCTCCTTGTTATAGGAGTTTTGATAATTCATATAAAAATACTGTGTAAACTGGAAAAATCTATATTAATGTCAGATGTATGTTCATGAGAAAAGCTCTTGTAATAAATATCTAATTTAACCTAAAGAAAAAACTTACTACTTCTTGGGAAGACAGCTATGATATATCAAAGTCATTGTAAGGTGAGAAGGTCACTGATGAGCACACTCATAACCCAAGGACAAGGGGTAAGGAAAAAAATATAAATAAAGAGTGAATTGAAGATTTGAAGAAAGACATCCTATTAAGGTTCAAGCAGGGAATACCTATCAGTCAGATGGTCAGAAGAGCAAAGTGATTTCTAAAAATCATAGAGAAATGAGTCTTATTTTTCCAAGTAGATAATCTTCCTCATGGCTCATTGCTTGAAAGTTTATTTCTTGTCCTAATGAAAAACTAAGGGAAATGAAGAGTTCCTGATGCACTGAGAGTGGACCACAGTGAACAACCATCTAAAAGTATCAGAGATCTAAATGGCCCTACATATGAAATAATTATTGCTTGGAAGGCATAGGAATGACCATTGTTTGTGATAGTGTAGTCAACAGTTGCTATCTTTTGGACAATAAATGTGACCATGCACCAGTGTATTTGACCAGCAGGCTAAGAAAATGGGATATGAATGAAGTTGGGGTTCAAGAGAGACCTCTGGAAGGGAGCAGGACAAGAAAGAAATTGCTAATCATGAGAGTGGAGACAAAGCCTAAGAGAAACAAAACTTGGAACACCAGAGGCCAAGGGTATAAAGCTAAAGCAACAGAAGTGTTGCCTTAAAGACAAGGGCTGGTTAGGTAACAAGAAAATACATGAGAAGTCTGAGATTTTCTATATTCACCAGCAATTAAGAATTCATATAAAACCTAAGAAATGAGTAATTCTGGCTGGCAAGGGAAACAAACAAAACAAAACTGAAAAACACAACCAAATAACCCTTCCCAACAATAACAATAACAACAACAAATCTAAAAAGAAGAGCAATGTCCCAGAAGTAGGAAGAAATGGAGGGTGGTAGCATTTTTTTGAACACATTAGTAATAAGTGTCATATACTGTGTTAAATGCTTTACTTCTTATTTAATATTCAAAAACCACCCCAAAAGTAGAAGATACTATTTTCATTTTATAGATAAGAAGTCTGAGGCTTGAATTTCAAGTTAGCATATAGGTGGGCTAACTTTGTATCAGCTAAGCAAGAAGAGCAGAGAGATTCAAGGACAGTTTTAATAGGGAACTAAGAGAAGGAACTTAAAATAGTAGATGACATTCTAACAGAAAAAAGAAACAAAAAACTAAACCATGAAAACTTACTTTTGGACCTGGTGCTCCAGGTGGCCCCTACAACATAACAAATTTTAAAAAATTATTTATTTAGTAGACATCCCAAACAAGGCAACTTTATCTTCATTAATGGTTAATGGATATAAATGTAAATATACTCACTGGAGGCCCTGGTTGGCCTCTTGGGCCTTGGGGACCCTGAAAAAAAAAATAGAAACAAAGCATGATATGTATAAGCACGGCTTTTGGTTGGTGTAAGCAAGAGAACTAACATTGAGCCTCTATCATTGCTTTTACTCATGAAGCAAGCCATATTATTCAAAATTGCTTTAGTATTTCAAAATTCTTGCACTTAACTATCATTCATATTCATGAATGATATGTTCCATATGTATGTTCCTGTTTTATTGATATTATTAGAAACTAAATTTACTCATTTTAATAAACTATTATAAATGTCAACATTTAAAAATGTTAATATTCTCTAAGCATGATGTTGAAAGCCACAGTTTAGCCTGGCATTTTGCCAGAGGGAATGGTTGAAAGGTGACCCTGCTTGGAATAGGGCGGCTCTGGGATTAGGGTGGATCCTGCTGCCTCAGGAGCCCGCTACTTTGGAGTTCTCACAGGGTTCCGGGAGAATTGGCACTGGGAGCCCAGTGGAGGGAGTGTGTTCCCGGGAAGTGTGTGTAGAGTGCCAGTGAGAGTTTGGGAATAAAGAGTTGCTGTTTGAACCTACAAGGCTTTGTGGCGGCTTGGTTATTTTGTGCCCAGCCAGACTTCGGCAGCATGTGTCTCTTGTTATTTCTACCTATCACCCACTTAGTCATCAAATGTAGAAACTCCAGTGTTCTTAGACATCTCCTTTTTCTTCATATACTATAAATGGATACCATCAATCTTTCAAAATACTTCTCCATCTTCACAGCAACTGTATTGATTCAGACTGTATACAGAATGTTTTTGTCCCCTTCAATTTAAAGGCTTAAGTCCTAAGCCCTGATGTGCTTGAGGTAATTAGGTCATGAGGGTGCAGCTATCATACATGAAATTAGTAGCCACATAAAAAGAGATATGAAGGAAGTGATCTGTCTCTTCTCTGTGAGGATACAAGAAGAAGGTGGCCTCTGCAAACCAGGAAAAAGGCCCTCACCAGATATGGACTCAGCTGATACCTTGAGTTTAGACTTCTTAGCCTCAAGAACTATGAGAAATAAATGCTTGTTATTTAAGCCCCTAAACTATGGTAATCTGGTATAACTTCTGAATTTACATAAACAAAATATTTTGCCTGTACTTCTAATTAGACTTTTTGACTTTATTTTTCTGCTATGATAACTGCATTCTACTTATAAAATGGAAATCTAATAATGCCATTATTTAGTTAAATCATTCAGTGGCTCTGGATTTTTTAGAGAATAAAGTATAATTTTTTTTAATAGTTTGAATACCTATCATTTACTGAGATCTTACTATGTACCAAGTTATATTTCCATTTTACAAAAGAATATGGAATAGTTAAGTTACAAGCAAATAAGGGGAAGAGGTAGGATTAAAATCCAAGTTAATTAAATACAAAAGTATAGACCAAGTGCAGTGAGTGGTCCATGCCTGTAATTCCAGTTACTTGGGAGGCTGAGGAAGGTGGCAGGTCAGTCTGGGAAACTTAGACCCTGTCTCAAAATAAAAATAGGAGTTGGAGTATATAATTCAGTGGTAAAGCACACCTGGGTTCAATCCTCAGTACCAAAATAATAAACAAACAAACAAAAATAAATAAATATTTTTGGTCACCATGAACCACTGCCTCTTATTAAGATTTAGTCCTTATTTTCATTTACCATCCCCCTATACAACATCCATAACCAAATCTTTCAAGTTATGTCATTCACCTATGTGGTATTTCCTTGACCTGGAATACTCTCTATCTATCATCTTCATATGTTGAAGGTCCAGTAGTACTTAAACATGCCATGTCCACTTTGCTTACTCACCATGCCACCTGCCTTGTTTTCATCTACTTTTGCATTCCATGGAACAGACATCCTGGAAAGTCCCTAAGAACACTTAAAATATCTTAGTTAACTTTTCATTTTATAGAAAAAGAATAGTGCCTAATAGTAGGTATTTGATAATTGTTATCAAATAACTGAGAGAAATGTTGATAAAATTAATTAGTATTGATTTAGAAATTAGAAATGTTTAACTATATATATGGTAAAATGTCAAATATGTTATGCTGATGTTTTTCAAAATGAAACAGCAACCATTGTTAAGGCCTTGTATGTTTGCTCAAAGTCAGCTTCTTAATGCTAAATATTGAGACAAACTCATATTATTAGTTATAAGATGCAAATAAAATTTAATCTCCACCTGAGTTTTATGTAATTTTGACATTATGGTTGACTTAGTATTTTATTGCCAAAGCTGTTCATTCTTTAAAAAAAAAA